CAATTGAGTTATATGGAACTTTTTCTAGGATAAGTTCATGAACTTAATTGCCTAACATTATATAGCAACCAGAATCCCTGACTCTGTTCACACTGCCACTCTCCTCCCACTCCCTACTTTTTATCATCATTGTCCCTGTCCTGTTGTCTTATTGTCCTTGTCCCTACTTGGGTTCTGTTCCAAGCAGATTCTCTTTAGTGGAAGGCCCTATGGCATAAGGAAGTTGTAAGGCTAGTTGTGAGTTTTTAGTACCTAGATTTCTTCAGGCCTGGAGACCTTACCCCCATGTCCACCTACTCTGGGAGCATGCAAGCCCTTCTTTTTTAGCTGCTATCCTCCAGTTGGCTTGCTGTTCTTTTGCATAAGTACTCCTTGGTTGTTTTGGAGTTCTCACATCTTCTGGATGCCTCCTTGCTTTCCTGTGCTTAGTCCTATAAAATAGTCATGTCATACACGTCTTCACTTGCTCATATTATAGTGTTTGTGGACATACCTAGTTAGCTTTTTGTAGATGATGTCTGATATTCTGGGTTTGTGATTCTAACTTTTTCTTTTTAATGTCTTTATTAAGATAAAGTTCACATACCATAAAATTCATCATTTTAAAGTATACAGTTCAGTGGTTTTTACTATATTCACAGAATTTTACAGCTATCACCTCTATCTAGGTCCAGAATATTTTCTTCACCCTGTTAATATTTACTCCCCATTTCTCCTTATATCTACCCAGCCCCTGGCAACCACTAATTTACTTTTTTAAAATGGATTTACTTATGTTGGACATTTCACATGAATGGAGTCATACTGAGAGGTTTAAGGATAGAGTTCTGCCAGAGTCCACAAGAAGGGAAGGAGGCCAGTCCAAGGATGAAGGATAGGCTTTATTTTAAAAGAGCAGAATGGAGTCTAACCAGAAGTCACCTTAGCTTATATAGTTTCAAGGGACTTTTATTAGTGTAGTTGGAATGTGATGTGAGAGGTGAGGGAAATCATCTTTCTTACAGAGGGAAAGATGCTGTGTTTAAGACTGATTTTAGAATTACTGCCTTGCACAAACGGTGTTAATCTTGTACAAAGGCCTTATCTCTATTGCTGCCGGGACTGGTAGGAGATCCTTGTTTCCCAGGAACACTGGCCCTAAAGCATTTCAGGAGGGTGGGGAGGGGGTTGCTGTGACCATACCATTTGGTCTCTGATCTGCTCTCTATCACTCCCTGTCCTCCCAAGATGGTTATACTCTTGTCAGGGTCATGAGAATTTATAAGAGTATGGGAAGGGGATTTCTGTAATCATGAAATTGGTTTCTGGCCTGCTTTCTTTCTCTGCTTGTCTCCCAAATAGCTGTACTTTTGTCGGAGTTATGAGGATTTCTTCCCCACACATACAACATATAGTCATAGTCATTTGTGCTCTGGCTTCTATCACTGAGCATGTTTTCAAGGTTCATCCACATCCTAGCTTATATCAGAGCTTCATTCATTTATTGCTGAATGATATTCCATTGTATCAATATACTATATTTTGTTTATCTGTTTATCATTTGATGTGCATTTATTTGGGTTGTTTCTATGTTTGACTATTGTGAATATGCTACAGTGAGTGTTTGTTTACAAGGTTTTGTGTTGATGTATATATTTTCAGTTCTCTTGATTGTATGCCTATTCAAGCTTTTAATGTTTCTTTGTGTAGATTTTTTAAGAGACTTGAGATTTAACAACTTCTGCTCCTACTATCCTAATAACCTCTGATTTTGCTTGGTTTTATTTTAATTTAGAGCCCTAATTAATATGTTAATTCTTTTAATAATAGCATTAAAGGAAGGTTTGATTCCCCCTCCCCAATGGATCCCAGTACCTCTTGTTCACTTCTCTCTGCAGATTGAGTTTCCTTCTCACCTGCATCTATTTCTGGATTCTCTTGTGTTCCCTTGTTCTGTTTGTCTGTTCCTGGTCAATGTAATAATGACCAGAGGAGCTACTTAATGCAAAGAGATAGCCGGATTTTTCAGGCCAGATAATAGCAAGTTCAGAGGCCCTCAGAGCAGAACTTAGCTTGAAGAGGCAGGAAGACTGCCTGGCCAGGCTATAGTTGTGTTTCATTTGGAGAGGGGAAGGGGGGAGGGTGGGACAATAGAAGGAGGGTTGGTAGGGGGATCACATCTGTGGAACATATTGCAAGTACAAGTTGGATTTATCAGATGTAGAACATAAATGTCTTAATCCTATAATTGGGTAAAAGGTGAAGACTATGTTGCTTAGTTAGGATGTAAGCATTCCAATTTGTACAAATAATCAACACATTGAATCCTATAATGACATAAATGTATTTATGATCTATGTACGAATGACTTAATAAAAAAAAATGCCTGGCCAGGGTAGTATTGTTCTGCAATGGAGAGTAACAGTGATAGATGGTACCAGGGGCAAACACTAGTGATGTTAGCTGTGCTAAGTTAGTTGATATACAATAATCCATATGTAGCTGGATAAACCATTTCAAATTGGTTTCTTTTTCTTTTTCAGGGAACGTAGTTTCATTTGTTATGTTTTTGTTATTGTTTTTAAATACATTTTTGACTAGGTAATACATTTATCTGGTTGGTAATTCAAATGGTACAAAAGAATATTCTGTGAAAAGTCTGCCTCCCTCACTAGCATGGTGTACTCTTAAGGCAATTAACAGTTCATTTCTTGGTATACTTCCAGAGACATTTTACACATATATATAAGAACATATTCCCCCCCCCCAGCTTTTTACATGAATGGTGACATACAGTACACACTGTTCTGCCTTTTGCTGCTTTCACTTCACAGTGTGTAGTGAAGATCTTTGTTTTTATTTTTCATTCATCCGTAACATCTCATTGTGTGGATATGCCGTGATATGTTTAACTTGTCCCTTACTGATGGGTATTTGGGTTCTGGTTTTTGTTGTTGCAGATAGCAGTGCATCCAGCCCATATAGATTCTGCACAAATGTTGTGACTTCATAGTATGTGGAATTGCCCACTTAAAAGGGTTGATTTTCATGTATATTGCCAAGGTATTCTCTATAGGGACCACTAATTTTCACTGCCAGCATTCTAATGCCTATGTTCTTACCTTCATGGTACAATGATGTGCTTCAACTTTTTAATTTATGTCAGTCTGAAAGTAAATAATGTTTTTTCACATTATTTTCAATTAGTGTTCAATTATATGACTAAAGTTGAGCATCTTTTTATAATGTTTGTGAGTTATTTGTATTTACTATGAACTCCACTAATATATTTTACTTATTTTTCCATTAAATCTTGGCTTAAAGTAGTCTTATTACAACTGAAAGGAGGCTTTAGCCTACGTTACCAAGGAAGAAAGGAATTTTTTTTCTGAGACAGAGTATCACTCTGTTGCCCAGGCTAGAGTGCCATGGCATCACAGCCTCAAACTCTTGTGGCTCAGTGATCCTCTTGCCTCAGTCTCCTGAGTAGCTGGGACTACAGGTGCCCACCACAGTGCCCAGCTAGTTTTTTCTATTTTTAGTAGGGACAGCATCTTGCTTTTGCTCAGGCTGGTCTCAAACTCCTAAACTCAAGTAATCTACCCAACCTCAGAGCCTCCCAGAGTAGCTAGGCTTGAGCCACAGCACCAGGCCTAAAGAAAAGAGTTCTTTAATATGAAAGTTGTCTCCTTGAGAGACTGGGAGAAGCTGCCTCTAGTGATCTTCCTTCCTGTAGTGTTGTGTAATTAACAAGGGGCTACTTGCCTTGGAGGCAGGCTGTGGGGAAATGGTGAGGAGGTTGGCCCAGGAGCCTCCAGAATCTCAACTCCTTTGTCTTACAGAAAATCCACCATTTCTGGGAAACAACTTAAAACTTCCAATACTTAGTTAAGGGAGAGGATTTTAAAAAATATATAGGGGTCTTTGAAATGTGTTCATATGGATATGGTTACAAAAGATTTGTAAGCTCTTTGGAGCTCTCTAGATAAGGGAAAGTTAGTCCTTTGCCAGTGATAGAAGTTAAACATACATTTTTCGGGTTGTTTGTCTTTTGACTTTGTTTATGGTTTCTGGGTTTTATGTCCTAGAGAACCTTTTCTTATTCTAGAGTTAGAAAATAATTTATCTATGACTTGGCCTAGTCCTTTGATCCTATAATTATTTCCATGTAAGTCCGTGCTCCTTCTGTGAGGTATAAGGTGGCCTCCAGCTATACCTCTTATCAGAGAAATCCCTGTTATCCCAGTCACATTTGTCCTCAAGTGCCGAAGCATTGTAAGTCAAGGGAAAGCGGAATCACGGAGGCTGACCTCTAGTGTTTGAGCCACAAGCAAGATGTGCCATTTACTGAACTGAGGAAGAATAGGGCAGGAGTCTAGTTTGCAGGATGACTTAGAGTTGTGTTTTAGGCATGTTGATCTTGAACTGTCAGGTGGAGTGCCTGAGAACGCAGTGTTTGAGGAGTGGGTCAACTAAGATGAAATACTTGGTGTAGGATATTTGAATGAATGATGAATTTTTTTTACATGAATGAGGTATTTTTAAATACATTCTATGTTTTACTTGTAAAAAATAACCAAAATATAGAAAATTTCTGGAAAAGAAAGCATAGAAAACAATACCATTTGACCCTAGGGAATGAGATTGGAGGTCTGGGATTGGAGAGCCACGTACTTTTCATTGCATCTTTTCTTAAGTATAAAGCCTCACCAGGTTTGAGGATTAAATGATATAATATATATAAATATATTCTCTAACCAAGGGGTAAGCAGACTTTCTGTAAAAGGTCAAATGGCAAATACTTTTGACTTTGCAGACCACATTGTCTTTGTCCCAACTACTCAACTCTGCCACTTGACATGAAAGCACAACAGCGTTGTGAATAAGTGGGTTCTGATAAAACTTAATTCACAACAAAGACGGTACACTGGATTTGGTAGCAGTGTAGTTTGCCAATATTTTCTCTAATCTATAAAGCACTGTGTAAATGTTGAGTAATTGTCATGACTTTCTCTCTTCAGGCTAATGTAATGCTTGAATATGATATTGATGAAGCTCGAGCATTATTGGAAAAGAATTTATCGACTGCCACAAAGAATCTTGATTCTCTTGAGGAAGACCTTGACTTTCTTCGAGATCAATTTACTACTACAGAAGTCAATATCCTTTCTTTAAAAAAGTCAGGGGGAAAGAAGGAAAAAAACATTTTTAAAAGCATTCCTGCAGGGCATGGTGGCTCATGCCTATAACCCCAGCACTCTGGGAGGTCAAGGCAGGTGGATTTCCTGAGCTCATGGGTTTGAGACCAGCCTGAGAAAAAGCAAGACCCCCCACCTCTAAAAATATAGCTGGGTGTTGTGGTGGGCACCTATAGTCTCAGCTACTTGGGAGGCTGAGGCAAGAGAATTGCTTGAGCTCAAGAATATGAGGTTGCTCTGAGCTATGACACTACAGCACTCTACCCAGGGCAATAAAAATGAGATTCTGTTTCAAAGGAAAAAAAAAAAGCATTCTTGCATTACTTTACTGGAAAGAATGTCCTTATTTATTCTCAGGCTAATGTGAGATTGTAGTTTTTATAAGATAATAAATAATGTATTTGGGACTAATACTTAAATAAGTTTACAGATTATGAATTTAAAATGTGAAGATGTTGGGTGACATCCATAGCTCAGTGAGTAGATCACCAGCCACATACACTGATGCTGATGGGTTCTAACCCAGCCTGGGTCTGCTAAACAATGACAACTTCAACCAAAAAAAAAAAAAAAAAGCCAGGCACTGTGGTGGGTGCCTGTAGTCCTAGGTACTTGGGAGGCTGAGGCAAGAGAATTGCTTCAGCCAAGAGTTTGAGGTTGCTGTGAGCTGTGATGCCACAACACTCTACTGAGGGCGACAGAGTGAGACTCTGTCTCAAAAAAAAATGTGAAGATGTAGAAACAGTAAATGCACATGGGTAAATTAATATTTTCTTCCAAGTACCTATGATACTGTCAATGGACAAGAATCAAACTCTGTAGGCTTGGCGCCTATAGCTCAAGGAGCCAGGGTGCCGGCCACATATACCAGAGCTGGTGGGTTCGAACCCAGCCTGGACCTGCCAAACAACAATGACAACTACAACCAAAAAATAGCTGGGTGTTGTGGCATGTGCCTGTAGTCCCAGGTACTTGGGAAGCTGAGGCAAGAGAATCGCTTAAGCCCAGGAATTGGAGGTTGCTATGAGCTGTGATGCTGTGGCACTCTACCCAGGGCGACAGCTTGAGGCTCTGTCTCAAAAAAATAAAAAAGGTCCAACTCTGTAAAATAATTTAAAGAAGTTAATTCTGGCGGCACCTGTAGCTCAGTGGGTAGGGCACCAGCCACATACCCTAAGGCTGGAGGGTTTGATCCTGGCCTAGGCCAGCTAAAGCAACAGTGGCAATAAAAAACATAGCTGTGTGTTTTGGCAGGCGCCTGTAGTCCCAGATAATCGGGAGGCTGAGGCAAGAGAATCACTGAAGCCCAAGAGTTTGAGGTTGCTGTGAGCTGTGACAGCACAGCACTCTACCCAGGGTGATAGTTTGAGACTCTGTCTCAAAAAAAAAAGAAAGAAAGAAAGAAAAAATAAAGAAGTTGAGCAGTACCTATGGCTCCAAGGAGTAGGGCGCGGACCCCATATACCAGAAGTAGTGGGTTCAAACTCAGCCCTGGCCAAAAACTGCAAAAAAAAAAAAAAATACTATAGCACTCTACCCAGAGTGACAGAGATTGTCTCAAAAAAAAAAAAAAAATTAAAACATAAATGTTTGAAAAAATTAAAGAAGACAAATGTGTGTTACTGTGGCCCAGAGTCACACCCAGGAAGCCTTGAGCAAGTGGTCTTATTGTGGTTATTTTATAGTTTGGTTTTATACATTTCAGGAAGATAGGGAATTACACATTAAGTCGTAAATCAATATTTGGAAGGCACACATTGGTTTGGCCCAAAGAGCAGAACATTTCAAAGTAAGGGATTACAGGTTGTAGGTCAGTTTAAAGATTTTTTAATTTGTAATTGGTTGAAGAAATGAATCTTTGTCTAAATCAGGGGTCCTCAGACTTTTTAAATAAAGGGCCAGTTCACTGTCCCTCAGACCGTTGGAGGGCTGGACTGCGGGCCCCAGTATGAGTCGGCTGCTAAGCAGGACAGGCAGTGGCGGCAAAAACACCCAGTGGGCTGGATAATGTCCTTGGTAGGCCACATGTGGCCCGCAGTTTGAGGACACCTGGTCTAAAGGTTTAGAATATTTTAAGTAAAAACAAGAATATCTGTTAATCAGAGACAAGCCAGACATACTAAAACTCAAACTCAAGTGATCTATTAAGTAAATTGAGGGCCTGCAGGTGTGGTTTAAGCTTTGCCTTGCATCAACTTAAGCCTGTTAATGATTTAATATCCTATTGTTATAAAGAATAACTTCAAAAGGGACAGGGCATAACTAGGCATGTCTGACCTCCTGTCTCTTCATCTATAGGATCAGTAACTCAGCTTTAAGATGTTTCTGGGGTTCCATTGACCAAGAGGGGGCCCATTTAGTTGGCGGAGGGGGAGGGGCTTAAGATTTTATTTTAGTTCTCAATATGTTTATAGTTAATTAAAAATGGCTCAGCACCTGTGGCTCAAGTGGCTAAGGCGCCAGCCACATACACCTAAGGTGGCGGTTCTCCAGCCCGGGCCTGCCAACAACAATGATGGCTGCAACCAAAAAATAGCCGGGCATTGTAGCGGGCACCTGTGGTCCCATCTACTTTGGAGGTTGAGGCAGGAGACTTGCTTGAGCCCAGGAGTTGGAGGTTGCTGTGAGCTATGATGCCAGCACTCTACCCAGGGGGATAGCTTGAGACTCTGTCTCAAAAAAAAAAAAAAAAAGATGTTTCTGGGGTTCCATTGGCCAAGAGGGGGCCCATTCAGTTGGCTTGGGGGGGGGGGCTTAAGATTTTATTTTAG